ATGTAATTCCAATTCGCTTGAATTGTTGGAAGCCCATAAATCCGATGGGTGATAAATTTTAGTAAATATGAACGTTGCCCATTCTTTGGAATGTAGTAATAACTAAATAGAACAATAAAAACATAGATAATTTGTAAATATTTACAAGACATGAAGTAGTTATCAAACACAAAATCTCATAACTTCTTTAACTTCTTCACCATTCCAGCAGATTATCAAACACAGAAACGCAGAACTTCTTACAGTAACTTCTTTCTTCCCAACAAAGAGGAACTTCCAATTTACAGTTTATGAACTTGTTTCCGGTTATCAAACAGGCCCCCACTTTAGGCTAAAACAATGTTCCGTCGATTTGGACGGAACTTAAAATGGGAAGTTCCTCACGTGAAAAACCCGCATGACCCTCGCTTCCTCTGACAAAGCTCTCTGTTCCTCTTTGATAAAGCTCTCTCTTATCTTTCTCTCTCTACTGACAAAGCTCTCGGTTCCCTCGGTTCCCCTCTGATAAAGCTCTATTTATGTAAACTTTTCCTTCTTTTATTTATCAAGAAACAATTTTTTATTTTTGTTAGATTCTTCTCTGCATGGACTAGGCATGCCCACAAATATAGGATTCTCTATAAAAATTTAAAATAAAACTATCAAATTATGACTTAAGCTATCCCACCCGTCAATCAAGAACGGACAGCTGAGATGGTCGGTTACACCGCTAGTAAGTTTGTAATAACCTATTTTCCCTTGTTCGAAATTAACTTTATCGTTATTCTCTCTCAGCACGCGAAGCTCTCTCACTTTCTCTCACTTGAAGAAGAGCTCTTATAATCTGAACTCTGCAACTGCCTCTCTCTCTCTCTAGACCAGGTACTAATCAATCTAATATTTCCTTTTTATTGCTGTTTCTTCCTCTATGTGGGTCCTCATTTTTTTCATTGTAACTTGCATTCTTTACCCAAAAATTGCAGATACAACTCGAGGTTAATGCCTGCAACTCTCTGGTTATGTTTTCCATTATTATTTTTGTTTCTATATGGTGATTTAGTTCTCTTTAATCAACTAGAAAGGAATATGAGACGTATCTATCTTCATTGAAGTTTACCCTGATTCATAATAGATTGCACTGACTTTGAAATCATGAATTGGTATATAATTTTTTGAAATCTTCCATTGATGGCTGTTGCATGAGGGCATGCCTGTCAATTTTCTTGTTTTATTTCACCATTGAGATTCCTCTTTTATTCTTCAAATTGTTTTATGGATAGTCACTTTTTGCTATCTTCAATTGAGTGGTTTTGTATGTATTTAATTATTTACTAGTATTGTTGAGAAATGGTTTTTTTTTTGGTTAAACTATGTATGGGGAAAATGTATTCTGAATTAGGAACCATTGATGTTTAAATTCACCAGTTCAGTTTGAATTCACAAAAATTATTCAGAGTCAAGCAACCTTGTTAAGTCCAATGTGACATTCATATAAAAGTGAAAAATTGAGGGTTGTCTCTTGGGGTTTAGAGAAAGGAAGTGTTGTAACTTAAGGGTGTTTCAAACCTACTTTAATTGAATTAAATTCTGAAAATTGAGTTTCAGTATGTGAGCAGGAGTGCAATAACTTTTTTTAAAGAAAAGCAGGACTGCAATAACTGTGATCACAAGTTAATGGGCTAGATGGGATGGTAAGGTCTCTGCTAGTTCCTGAGTTTGGGGTTGATTTCAAAACGTTTCTTAACAAATTTTAGGCCCTAACAATAACATTTTGACCGTGGATAGCTTTGTTTTATGGTTTTTGGTTGCGGTTATGCTGTTCAAGCATAAACAGGCTTGAAAACAATGTCGTATGAATAGTGATACCAGAATGTGGTGTTCCATTGAGCAACATGAACTTGTTCTTTGGGAGCATTGTGTTGGTGCATTAGATACATATACATAAAATGAATGATTTCTCTCTTTCTATCTATCACTCTATCACTTTTTTATTCATTCTGTGGTTCGATCATTGATTCTATTCAGAAATTAAGAAACAGTTTTATCAATAAAGATAGGTAATGTACCAGGTGCTTCAATATATGAAGGGGTGGTTCAATACACAAAGGGGCCATCAAATAAAATTGTAAATCGAGTAGATTATGTTCAAATACTTAATGTTATACTGATCATTTTGCAGTAAAATTGGAGTGATTTTGGTTTAGGATTTGTGATGTACTAGAAAAATAGTGAGAATTTAGTCAAATAACTCAATAGTGTTCTATTCATTTTCAAAATGGCCGATTTGGTTTTTGGTTTTTGTCATGTCAAAGGGATATAGGGGGAGTTTGGTCAAATAAGTCAATGGCATTGTGATAATTTTTACATAAACTATAATGATTTGGCTTTCGGTTTTGTTGTGTACATGTGAAATATATGGAGGAGGAGAAATTGAACCTTGTATCTTTTGCTAAATGGTAATTGGATTGGCGATAATGGTTCAATTTACATCATTCTCTAAATGGTTAGTTTGATGACATCACTGTGCTACAACGACACTGTAGGCAGTTGAAGCATAACACAAAAATCTAGTTGATTGTTTAATACAATGGAGCTACTTTAGAGCTGATCATAACTAGCTAGCATGTCTCCAACATCCCTAGATTTAGGTGTTAGCTGAACTTAGAATTAACTTCTATTGGATTGGGTCATCTTCATCAGCATTATCAAAGCCTTTTCCCAATAAATTTGAGTTGGCTACACGAATCCTGGTCCACCATTTTGTTGTATTAAGGGCCATACCCTCAGTGAGGCCATATGTCCTAAAAAAATTTTCTTACTACTTCCTACCATGTTCTTTTGGGCCTACCCTTTACCCTTTTAGAGCCTTCCATTTGAACTAATTCTATTGGATTGGATAATATGTCTTTTCCAAGACATCAATTGGGAATAGTTAGTAACATTGTAACTGAGTTTTGTTGCCATTGTAATTGAGTATTTATTTTCTTGCCATCATAGTCCAATCTTGAGGATGTTGGACAATTAGTTTTGTTGTTGAGGCAATTGGATTTCCAATGTAAGACCTTTAACAGCCAATGAAAAGCATGCATCCAGGCATGTAGACTCGTGTTGGGTACACCGGAGAGACACACATGTCCATCTATTCCCAGGGTTCCTTGGGAATCAACATGGGTGTCAGTTTGTATAAGCATTGGGTTTTTTAATCCGACAAGCAAAAAACACATCTGTACAGTGACATGCCTTTACAATATACTAAATAGAATATTTAGTTTATAGAAGAAGCATTTTCTTCACTCACTTTTGTTATAAAGTTATAACAAACATGTGTGTGCATGCACGTACACATATAAGGTTTTGTATGTACGCTTCTGAATATAATATTTATTATGATATTCAATGTCTTACATTAATTTATATAAAATTATTATGACATGAAATTTTAATATAAAAAACTGCCTAAATCCATATACATTTGAAGGGTTTAAGTACCCATTTTGGCACAAAGTATGGTTTATGACTTGTAAAATAAAAAACATGTGTCTTCAGCGGTCATAAAGTGTTGAATTGTGAAAATACATGTTGGATACTGTTGCAGCAAGCAAAATGAAGTGTATGGTGGCACTACCTATGAACATGTTTGGGTCCAGGTTGTCTGGTACCTGTCTGCAGGTGTTTGGGGCCTTGTGTATCCTTGTGATGTAAAGTGTTGGGGATAAGTTCAGTGATGAAGAGTGGTAACCTAGTGTAACTGATCCCTCATCATTCTGAGTTATGATTCTGCTGTTATGGCCTTCTGTAATGTATTCGTACATGAACATTTATGCTATTTCTGATTGTTTAAGTATGAGTCTGCTATTCACCTTGTGACGCAGGGTATTTGGGATTAGTTCAGTTATGAAGAGTTGCAGACTAGTGTAGTTTCTGATCCCTCATCATTGCTGAGTTATGATTCTGTTGTTATGGCTTTCTGTTCTTCACTTAAATGGTTATGCTATTTCTGATTGTTTAAGGGTGAGTTTGGTATTCCTGGTCCTTGAAGTGATATTGTGCTACTTTTCAACTTGTCATAGTTTCTTAAATGTCATGTGACATAGGAATTCCATTTGAAAATAATCAAAGATAATTACAGCCTTTAAATTGTTGGAAATATGTTGCCTAGTGTCTTGAGCTGCTAAGGGAAGGGATTGTAAAGGAAGAAAATGCATAGATGGGATTCAATCAAGTAAAATAAGCACTTAGGGGCTATTTGGATCCCTGGAAAAAGGTCATCAAGAAATGGTTTTCTAGGGAGATTGCCCATTTTCATTGTTTGGATCCAAAAACTGGGGTGGAAATTTTTTCTGCCAGAAATTGTTTTATCTATTTTGAGTCCAAAATCAAGAAAATATTTTTCTCTCCACAAGCTAAAAATTAATTTCTCCGTCAGATTTCCTTATGGAGCTGAACAAAAAAATTAAAAACAAACGTGTAGCTCACTCAGAACAAGAGGATAAAGGGCAATTTCTCTCTCTCTCTCTCTCTCTCTCTCTCTCTCTCTCTCTCTACTACTACTACT